ACGGTACAATAAACAGAGATATCATGACGGCGCCACAAATGTTACAAATAACATGATATATCATGACGGTGTCACCAATAGCACTGTACACGTGAGATGCCACCTATCATACAATAAACACGATATATCTTGACAGTGACGTCTGCGGTATAAGAAATTTGAGATATCGTGACGCTGTTATGAAAATATGAATGTGACACCTATCGTGCAAGAAACGAGGTATCATGGAGATGCAGTTTATGGTACGAGAACCACGAGATAACATCGACAGTGTCGTTAAATTATAGGAAACATGAGATATCATGACTGTGCTACATATGGTTGAGTTCGTGCTGCTGGGATGGATTTTAGGTACTTTGGCCAAAGGTGGCTGTGACGAATCAGTCGGCGGTAGAGCGTTAACCCACTTATCCTCGGGTTAATGTCCATGGTGTGTAGTTCAACTTTCCTTTCCGGTGCCGGTTTATGTTTCAGGAAGCCGAGATACTAACCAGTTTGTGTTGTTGTGGTTATGCCATTTACTGCCCTGGATAATATGCGACGGACATTCCTATGTTGTTCGGTGAGGTAGCCGCTAGCTACTGCATGGACAGCCCGCATCGAAATGACCCTGACTGTTTTGATTCTTTCGTTTGGAGTCAGCATTTGTGTCTGTGTTGATTCAGTAGTATGGCCTTGTGTATGTGTGTGTGTGTGCTGGTGATTATATAAGGTGTGTTTCTGCATGTACAAGTAATTAGGGAACTTGTTATAATTACAATACGACTTGAAATAACTCTAAATGCCCTTGTCTTCAATACAAATGCGAAATCCCGTTTAAGACCATTCCTCCAAAGATAGCTTATTCTCTTCACAAAATACAATTAGTGTCTGTCAGATATATAGTTTTACACTATTTGAAAACTACGTTTCCAACGTAATTGAATGCATTGAATGCTCACTAATTACGCAGCTCTGAAAATTGGAGCGAGACTTTTTTCCATTCAATGATCTATATATACTTCCCTATATTAGGTTGTACTTCATTAGTAACGCTCGTGCGCATGCTCCATTAGGATCCACAAATTACATCAGAACTGCAAACGTTCTCAGAATCCATCTGTATGCAATAACTGAAATATGAAACAGTGATTATCTGGTGCATTGCTTATTTTACGTGTGAAAAAAGAACACGGTGAACTAAATACCACATAAAAAGAATATTTTTTTCTGTTAAGCATTAATAGCCAGATTTCATTTGTAACACGCAATTTCCTTGGATTTGAAAAAATAGGGGTTTTCTCTGCTTAGATTTGAAATTGGCGGGGGGGGGGGATCTGATTACCTAATACACCTAGGTACCTAACTCCACAAAAATCACTGGGCGGGCAGCCAACATTCCATATATAGGATTATGTACTCTACAAAAATGGCACAGATTTTGTCGGGCACTAGTGTGCGTTACAGCAGGTGATAGAAAAGCTCTTGGAATGAATAAGACATGCCTGTTACGACGAGACCAAACTTCATTCCACTACTAGGGAAACCCGGCTCTACTTCAAATTCCAATTCGCTTGTTCCAGGTACCTATCACAACAAACCAACGGCTTACTGGTTGTTCATTCACGTCATATATGCCTGGTTTTAATTCATACTCTGCCTTCGGTAATTCTGTGCTTCATTTCCACCAGCCATAATGTCAACTGTTGTTTCGCGAGGGATTCTGAAATAAAGAATGTTGAGTGTGTTCAATATGATAAAAAATTAGCTATACATTGACATGAATAAAGTGAATTTCCGTGTTATTTTCGTTCAGTTTTGATCGAATTTTAAACATGACACTTGCTTACTAATTTTAGGTATATTGACTTATAGACCAAAAGTGGGTGGCTATTTTTGTCATCGAGAATGACGTCATACTGAGTATCCTATTGTTACAGTTTCGTGATGTCTAACAAACATCGAAAATTTATTAATATTAAATTAAACACTATTTCTGATAAATCATAGTTGATCATTCTAGATGTAGAACTTCTAAACACCAATGTCATCAGGATGGTGTCCAAGTTATTGTAGTCAACAGACACGATAGCACTCACTTAATACAGAGAATAAGACAATCATCTTATATTTCTATCTGTACCTAGGCCTTTCAAGTCACATTTCTACTTTAAGCTATGTTTTATTTTGGAACGGTAAATGTTCCTTAGCATATAAAATCATAATATTGATTGTTTTAAAAAATGACAAAACACTGTGCACAAGACAAAATCCGTGAAAAAACGACATAATCATATAAAAATGTCAAATCCATTACGTTCTCTTGCTACTAGTTAAAACGAAAATATTTCGCTGTTGCTTTAATATTTCGTTGTGTTGTCTTTCAGATAACATGCCAGATACTTTATAAAAATCAATAACTTGTTCATTAGATTACATCTAGTACCGCCCAGTCCTTTGATGGCGCACCGAGGTCCAATTTGCAAATCGTGTTCAGAAATGGCATCACTAATCACCAAGTCAACTGTGCCAAAAGCACCGAAAACTGCCGTCTGATAGTCGTCTTTTGTGGCTGGTACGATCATCTATCTTGTGGTTGGTGAAATGTAACATGATTTAATATCAAGTGAACACGGTGATCATATTGGTATCACAGGTACTCACATTAGATTAGCATAACTAAATGTATTAACACAGACCGATTATGTATGATACTCAATTGCACCGAATTCCATTACCTGAATCGAATTGAATGAATTATAAGATATGGCAAACGTCTTCATAACAGTACGCGATACGCGATTGTAATCCTGACTGTTCCAAACCAATGCTGGCAATTCTCAATTAGCACCACCTCATTTATTGTAAGATATCTTTGCACCAATTGTGATTTCTTGCCGTCACTTTGAAGGTTTAAATTTTCTAAATTTGTATAAAAGGTTCTATCGACATGAGTGACTTCTGTACAGTCCCATTATATTACTTCAATTGTATACTTGGTTATGCATAAGAAACTTTTAAGTAGTTTTTGATAGTTAAATAAAAAAAAACTTGCAACTTATACTTTAAAGTAACAAAATTCACGATTCGCTTCTGAATTCCTAAAAACATATGACTCATTGTAACTTCTACTTGGAAGAAATAATACCAGACTTTAAAGTTTTCACGAGTAACTAATTTCATGGCTCTATTTAAAATAAAATCCTGATAAGAATTCTCGACTCTTTTGATGTTAATAAATCCCCTATGTTGTTAGCAGCCGCAAGGATGGGTTTGTTAAATTGTTAAATGTGGATTTCCAGCTGCTGCTGAGGAGGGTTGTGAACGTCTGTTTAAAAAGATCCAGAAGATTGTAGAAGCAACCTCTCGTGTCATCTAGGCAATTTTCTCTCCTGATAAAAGAAGAGAATAACATATACATTCTATGTGACATTTTCAATATTCTTTCAAATTGATGTCGCCTAATAAATCAGATTGTTAAATGGACTGATATAGACCAGACGCAACGATCTTACTGAAATAAATCGAAAGCTTTTTATCATGTCGCTAGTTTACAAGCCATTAAGTTTTGTGCGATACTGTGAAGAATTGTCAACATTGTGTTGCATTAAACTAGCACTAGCGTCAGTGAGTTTTTGCTTTTGTGTGTTAAAGCCTCTATTTACTGGCCACAAGAGGCTTGCTGGCTACCATACAAATAATGGAAGTAGACTGTACATATATGTGCTCTGTTGTGGCTTAAACATTTTGTTTTAGAACGCTTACACATCCTTGGTGACATTTAGAGGTGACATATGTGACAAGCCCAGCTTTTTAACCTTGTAACTGTTTCCTGGTCGTCAAAATATGTTTCATTTTGAATTTTAACATAAAGTGCATTTAGCTTCCTTGAAAATATAAGAATTTGAACTGTAGCTCATTATCATCGATCTGCTCAGCTGTATTTTCATTTACTAAGTTTAGAACGTGTGCTTTACAGTTACGTGGAAGCTTCCCTTAGAAATGTAACAAAGCCTTTTCTCCTGCTGGTGATGTCCATGTACGATAAAATCTTCATACCAGTTGTTGACATCTATATGAACCATTTCTAAGGTTCAGGAAAAGAAATGGCTGAGTCTTTGCGCTACCTTCAATGACATTTTACTTTTCTTGGTTATTTTTCAATCTCCTTTTCTAGTAACATTTTCCACATTTTATGTCATTGTTATTTCGGCTTTCTAGACAGTAACATATGATACTGGTTAAAATTCATATCCAGGTCTGAAATTTTGAATATGGGAAAATATATAAGTTCAAAACATTTATGTAGAATAAATAAAAATAGAATATTGATGATAATCAAGTGGAGATGGATTTTTTTGTTTTCGTTTTTTGTTTTTGTTTTTATTTTTTTGGTAACAGATTCAAAGTATAAAACACTCAGCATGCTGGTGTTAGTACCTTTACAGCTCTGCCAACTTCATGCCTATCCTTTAATTATGAAATCAATGGACACCCAAAACACAGCAACTCACAGACCTCATGACAAAAAACTAGATAACTGAGATTACTCTGGGCATGACGGAAAACGGAAATTAAAAGTTATTATCGTTATATCGCTGTCAGAACGGACAGTAAGGAAGTTGTTTTACAAAAGTATAAACAAAATTTAAGAGCATTTAGACCTGAAGGAAGCAAACGAGGAACACTCATGAAAATTTCCATAAATAACCTTCTCTATCCAAATTGTCACGGTATTCTCTAACAATCAATACTTTTACTTGAGTCAGTAAGATTTGATTAGCATGTAGTAGACAACACACTAGATCCCAAAATAAAAACACACACAAAACAAAAAACAATAACAAACAAAACTAACAAAAAACCAAAAAAACAAAACAAAACAAAACAAAACACACACACACAGACCCTCACACACACAACATTTTTTTTTGTCGTGCGTGTCTGACTTGTGCAAGTCTATATCGCGCGAGTTACGTGTCCTTTGTTGTGGAACTCTTTCGTGCGCTGTCAAATGAAAGTTCTGTCAAAGGAGAAGTTGCGCTGTAGAAATGATACCAGCTGCAATCACTGCAGTGTTTCGGGACTGTGTGGAGATTGATGATGAAGACGAACAGCATGCATGTCAGCTGTATGATTATGTAAAATCTGGCGACATAGAAAATCTCAAAAGGGTTCTAGAATATCCAGAGTTCCGAGCAGTGATCAATATGAAAAATCACCTGGGATGCACTTCACTAAGGATTGCAGCCGCTGGTAATTACTTACTTTTGATATTTATTACACTTCCTATCATCCATTTTTCCGCGATATTGAGGTGGTACAATATCAGCATCCCATTTATCATTCTCTGAAACGTATACCGTCCCTAAATCTACTCAAACAATGTTAGCGGTTCAGCACGGCGATAAATTTTAAACAGTCGCCGTGTGACGAATCTGTCAATGCAATATATTATCACACAGACAGTACAAGTTGTATTACCAGAACTCCAGATCTAGAGCATGTCGATCTAGCGGAACTATATATATATAGATAAAGCAGTATAATGTGTTATGCAAGTTTTGTGTATGCTTAATTATATTTGTATTACATGTAAGTGTATCTGCTTAATTACATTTGTATTACATGTGTTGTATTTACATTCTATGCCAGAATATATACATTTATACATATGGGTCTTGAACTATTCAGAAAGATATTTGTCCCTCTAGCTAGACACCCTTTTTACCAAAGCTAATTTTACATACCACTGCTATATACATAAATTTCCTCGTAGTATGGAATGGGAACTTTCCACCCGTTAATTTGATATGGAATATCAACAAATTATCTTTTCAAGCTTTAAGATAATTAAAAACACGCAAAGTCATATGCAGTTGTTGTCAGAGACTTATTAACCTACTATGATAGATACAATTTTAATTAATAAGATAAAAAAATTTCCAGATTTTGCAATTTGCAATATTTGTATTGTCAATCTGCCAACAGCATTTCTTGGATAGACTTATGCTATTTATAATTTGAATCTTTAATTATCTTTGGATGTTAAAATGAGGTATAAACAACTTGAGGTAAGTCTTAAAACAGGCAGTTCAAAAGGATTAATACTGTCAGTACAATACATACATATAAATATGTAGCACAAGCATCATGTTCATCAGATGCTGCTGGCTATTAATATAAGGCATGTCTTATTTTGTATTATGTTACACAAATTTATCGTGTTTTACTGTTTCACCAGTATAATAGTTTTAGTACTGAATAATGAAAATAATTAATATAATGTAATAATATTATGAGACTGTTGATACTGTCATAAAAACTAGAGTTGTATAATTACAAAAAATTTCATTAAGTCTATCCCCCATGCATTGCAGAGGGTCACCTTGATTGTGTACGATATCTACTGGATTTTGGAGCATCTGTAGACAGCCCAGATGTCAAACTTCAGACTCCATTATTGGTGGCACTGAAGAATTTCCACTTTGATTGCGCTGAAGTGTTACTAGAGAAAGGAGCCAACCCTAACGGGGATCCACACCATGTCACAACACCTTTATATGTCATGACAATGCAGGGTTCATTCAGAGGAATGAAGGTAACTGAAGTTTCCAATCGTGATGTCACCAATTGATGGCATGTTTTTCTTTACAGTCTGGTCTCGCAGTAAATCCTCATGGTACTTAGAATTCAATTCAAAATCAATTCTTATAATGGACGATTTAAATTATCATCAATTATGTATAGGCTAAAGGTTCTTTATCAACACTTGCTAACAGATGTTAGGAGGAATGTGATAAGAATGACTTAGAAAATATATATTTTTATGCATATAAACCTGTCTTGTGTGGATATGCCACTTCATGTTACTATGAACGTGATCAATTGGTTCCTACAATGTATAGTATCAAATAAGAGCTGAAGGTGGCATCAGGTGGTGTAGAGTGACACCTAGTGGTAGGATGTACCTTAAAGTTGATGGATGTTCATAATTATTCATGATGAATGACGCTGCTGACTTACTCAAGCTGTTTATATCATACATCATCATTTTGCCATGATCCTTGCTTACAAAATCACCTACTGACCAACAGGGATAGTTTTGTATTGCAATAAAGTTAATATGCTATTGCCTTTCGCGTCAAAAAAACTATGCAATTCCTTTATGATTATGCCAGGATGACAATAATCAAATACATGTACAATTACTTTGTAAAAGGTTCTATCATACAAATACCCAAAAATGCTGACACCTGTTTCAAATGCATGTACATTTATATCAACTAAACTCATAGCAATCTTACAAAATCACAAACAAAAGTATTTCTTCCGGAGAAGTTTCACAAATAAAGAAACCTTCTTGATTTAATGAAATGTTTTTGTTGTTAAGAATAATTCCAAATTCAATGTGTATTGTTGTTGCAATGAAAATGGTATTTGATACATATCAGAAGTTCTTGAAGGAAAAACAACTTTAGAATAACTCACCAGCTCTCCACAAAGACTCATTAAATGGCAAAAATTTTAGATTGGGTTCACCAATTAACACATCAAATGTTAACTCATATAAGATTCCATACATCAAAATGAACATATATATGTAGACAATTTCCTTTTCTATTTCAGTTACTGTTAGAACATGGAGCTGCTACATGTGAATCTCATAACAACTTTCTACCTATGATGTCCTTGCATGTTCCATTGTGTCCGATTCAGATTGCACTGACTTATAAACGGTACCACTGTGCACGACTGCTGCTTAATTATGGGACTGAAACTGATTATCTACCTTCATCCCGTCCAGACAGAAGCCATATGATCCTGTATGATCTGTGTATCAATAAGTTATGTGCATTGGTGGGATTTCAACTTCTCTATGAGTGTGGTACCAACATACATATAAGGCCGAAAGACAGTAAAAAGGTATGGGAGCTGGAGGAGAGACCGGATATCAGGCGCTACCTTAAATATATTACTGGTATGTAAATCATTGAATATATATCTCCTGCAAAATAAACCACTGATAAGGAATATTTAAGTTTTTCTTTAGAGTACATCACTGGTTTATAGCAAGTCAAGTTGACATTTATATATAAAGCAGATTTGATACAATATTTAACCAAATTATATAACATCTTATTTGTCTAATTTTCATTCAAAAAGCAATTTCAACTTTTGCTGTACCATTAGTAATGTTGGTTTCTACTCACAACTGCATAAGGTATTGATTCTAACCAACAGATATCTTAAAGATTTCAACAAATTTTATGTGTGACCTCAGATACGAGCCAAGGTCATTTTTTCCAGAAACATAGTTTGCTTCATCTCAGGAACTTACTGATTGAACATCATGCCCTACACCAAGTCCTCAGACAAATCATAGGCCTAAAATCTTGATAAAAATATTAATTTAAAGGAAACTGATGATTTTTAGCAGCCATCACAATATAAAGATAATAAAATTAACTGATGTAACAAAATAGGCTTTAGATATATTGTTACAAAATGTGGTTTTGATATTAGTGTAACCCAGATACATAAGTCGAGTAATCTTTGGCTGACTCTTGTAGGATTAATTTGATCAATATGTAATATCTGGTAGACAGAGTGTGAATTATGAATGCACACCATTCTCTGTAACTGTATTTACAGTGGATAGTTCTGCTATCTACTTATCCTATTAGTCTATAGTATTGGCAAACTTAGCTATCTTTCGGACGGCAGTCTGCCTTTGAGAATGCCCACGGCGCCAAAGACAAGACTGAAACATGAAATTCTCCTGGTTAACATGTATCAAACAATTTAATCAGCCAAGGTCCACCCTGATATGAAATCCAACCAATGGGGCATGGGATCATGACATCGCCATGACGAGATCTGATGGAGTAGGTATAAAAGCAGGGGAGTTTTGGGGGTGGCAGAGAGCTCACTAGCCCTATGGATAGAGAGGGAGGGAGCTCACTAGCCCTATGGACAGAGAGGGAGGGAGGGAGGGAGCTCACTAGCCCTATGGACAGATGGGGAGAGCTCACTAGCCCTATGGACAGACAGAGAGAGCTCACTAGCCCTTTGGACAGACAGGCTAGGGGTGAGAGAGAGCTCACTAGCCATATTGACAGACAGGTTACACCATGATGAACAGTATGAGGAGTGGGTATTTTAGTGTATACCTTAGAAGTACTGTTTTTATATAGAGACAGTTCTGATACAAGACACAACGGGAAGTACTAGTATGAGTATATGAACTTTGTATGTTGATGAGATGTTGCGTGTGTACATGTAACATTATTATTCAACATGTAATAAACATGGCTATTACCAACAATTACGTGTGTTTACACCTACTGTGTTACACTGCTGAAAATGTGAAAAGGGGAAAAAAAGAAAAGAAAAAGTAAAATATGGAATTATATTGTTGCTGTAGAGTATTAAAGGATAGTATTTGTACCCATGGTTAATGAATATGCAAATTTGAATGAAAAATGAATTTTAAAAGGTCAGCTAGTTGTAGTTGCAGAAGATAGACATAATAAATTGAAATAATTACCTGTTGTATATTTCAAAACTGATTCATTATCTTCAGGAAACCTACATGTACAATGAATAGATGTACATGCATAACTGTTTCATGTACTTAGGGTAAGAATTTAAGAACCCTGGTTAAGCCCAGATAAAAAAAATACCTACAATTCAATAGTACAATTTTCCATAGTGCAAGGGGAATAACTCTTTTGTAATCATTTTATGTATGTATCCATTTAATAGCTGTGCACATTTACATAATGGTCTGGGGGAAAATGTCCTTTCATTTGAATGATATTATGCACTCACAACAACTGAAAGTCAGATGGCATACTTTAGGTAATGCCAAAGTTTTCAATTTAAACACCAGCATGCAGCTTTCTGCATTCCTTGTGGGATACATTTGTTACTTACATTGTATAAAGAGTCATGGTATCTGGAATGAATTCATGTTTCAGAGTTATAGAGTCAAAATCAAGGACCCTTTTTAGGCAATCAGCCCAAACCTAGATCTTGACCCATATTAAAGGGTATAGTGGTCGAATTTGTAAAACCTTTCAACAACCTAAAGGCCTAGAATCATGACAATATTCTAAGAATGGATCCCAACCAATAAGAAATGACTTTGACCAATAATTAACTGGTGTATGATTATTAACTGATTTATGATGTACATGAAATTTACATGTACCTAATTGGATAAAGTCACTACTTGTAAATGTTTTTCAAAAATCTCCATATGCCGGTAATGTCTTCCGATTGGCCATAAAGCCTAGAACCCTGACATTCAGTTAAAATGTTTCAGTGAGTATGCCAAACTTCATTTTGTGAAAAGAAAAGACCTTGATCTATATTCATGGTCACAGAAGTTGTTGAACAATCATGAATTTATTCAAAATGTTTCAGTAATTGGGAAAAACCTTTAACAGTAAGAAAAGTTAAAATAATTTGAAATGAATTTGCTTTGTCCATTGCATTACTTGCACTGTCACTTTCACACTTGTACTTTCAGAGAATCCCCGTAGCCTGAAGTCTAGTTGTCGCCTGTCACTGATGCGTCAGTATGGAAGGAATCTGTTGACACAGATAGACAAGATGGACATTCCTGTAGTTCTGAAGTCCTATCTCAGTCTGGCTGACATCAGCTGACATCATCCTGGCTTAGGAACACTTCAAATAATTAACATACTCTTAGATGTATATGTATAAATATTGTGTTCAAAAAGATGCCATTTAACAATTATTTATAGTTTTGTTTTGTTAGAGTTTTACAAACCAATTATGAAAATTTTTCCTTGTGACTTATTGCAAAGTGAAATCTCATATTTTTATTCCATATTATTGTAGTTTGATGCAGCACAGTAATAGTACTAACTGCTGACAGAGATTATGAATTGGTTTTATACCTCTGTATAAAATATCTCTGTAATGTAGACTCTAAAACTTAAACAAGTTTATATATCCTCTCTCTATATATATATGTATGTTTAACTAGTAAATATGGTGTGCATCAGTTAGATTATTCAAAAGATAAAATCAACACAGTAGTTTGCTAATATTTACAGGCCGAGGGGGTTGGTTAATGTTTCCAGGCCTGGCGGGGTTGCTAACATTTTCAGGCCAAGCGAGTTGGCAAATGTTTTCAGTATTAACTACGGTCGCTAGGCTTCAATGAATTTATTTCCAGTGATGGGAAGTCATGGAATACTAATTAAGTCAATCATTTATACCAATTATATGTGAATTGTACATTTATCGACCTGTAAGAGGAGTTAAAAATATGAAATTAGTTTGAAGACTACACGAGCCTCGTCTTGCCATAATCATTATATATACATAAGTTGATAATGAATACTTTTTTTCTCTTAAAAAGATTTCAAAAAGAACTGATTTAGTATTTTGACTTCATCTTGACATCATATGATTAATGATCAAGTAAATGAGCATACATTATATAAATACTTTATGCTAATCAAACGCTAATACTGCAGCTTTTAGTAAAATAATCGCTTTCCTGTGCTTAAATTTCTATTGGAATAGCTGAAACTGTGCCAAGAAAATCATGTAATGCATGCTTTGTAACCTACATTGGAGGTATTAAAATAGGCTTGTATACTTATATACATGTATAAACTTTATTTTATAATTTTTCTATTTTGGTTATCTCCCTTTACAAGACACACTATTGATCAGAAAGTGTTGTGTATTTTATCTTATTTCCTTTTCTTCAGGATTCAATACTGTGCCAAATATTTGACTGTTAATAAAATCAGTGTCATTGAAAAAGTCTTTATTGCAATTTTTGAAAATCTTTTTGTAAGGGAATAAGATGCCTAAAACCTACAATGAATATTTGTCATGTGTTATCCTTGTGACAAGACCTTTCCAGTGGTACCGATTTTTACCATGTGACCTTGACCGTGACCATTGATCTACATCTAAGAAATAACTATGGCCCTCACTATTGAACTAAAACTGTCAGTCATTACCAAAATCGGAGACATTATTGTTTCACACAAAGTGTGCAGGCAATTAGAACATGCATTATACAGTACAGTTTTAAAGTCCCCCATCAAAGTTTCATAAACACATCTTGTTTGCAAAAGAAATTGGGTTTAAAACATATCCTACTATATCATACACATCTTTACCATATACATGTGTGTAGTAATGCAATGGCAACTAGTGCCTCAAATTACTACCCATTTGATTTAGAATTTTATGTATCTTCAAGCAGTTGATGAATTTTGAAATATTAAACAATACTTCAATCACTTCTAGTTCTTCCGGACCTGAATAAATGTGTTTTTTCAGTGTCTACTTTTGACTTTACAAGCCCTTCTCAAGATGCTATGAATGCATTGGTTATATCACTTGTGAAAAGGCAATGAATATACTCACTTGAATTTCAAAGCCTTTGGCTACCTTCAAGTTTTATGGAGTGAAATAAGTTGAAAACAACTTCTTAAAAAGTCCTATAAGTCCCTGAAATCTTACTTAAGAGTACTTTTTTTATACAAAATCACCATATCCGTACTGAATTCTTCTCTGTAACTTAAAATCCAAATTTGTTGAATGCAGTAAAAAGTAATCAGATATGACAAGTATTTGCCTTAGTTAATGATAATGTACAATAAGAATCTATTCTTGGAAGTTCTGTAATGCATGCATGACTTCCAAAAGATTCAGTAGAGTGTAGCGATAAAGTAAACTGCACTATACTTTTGTTTCATCCATCTAGGATCCATCATTAAAGCTAGGAGGAAAGGTGGAAGGGAGGAAGTGATTAATGAATGGGTTGAAATCAATTTCAAGATATAGATGGTGAGCCCTGCTACAACATTAAATATTTTCAACATCAGATGATTTCAGAGGAACATTAAGTACAAGTGTATATGCTGAACCGTTTTACTATTCAAGGAATGAACACAGCAGATTACAGCACTGTCTCCAATAAACACCAATTAAAAATGACCTAGAATTACGTCTAATGCCCTGTATATGTACAAGTAAAGTCAAGATTGTACCTTGTTGAGGCTAAATATACATAAATTACATTTTTATTCGCACTGTTACCTAAAATTGATAAACAAATTTGATATAAAAAGGATGCCATTCTTTGATACATTATTTAACCTGATATCATCGTACGAGGATGAATTCAACACTGTAAAGGTTAAATGTATATCCTGTATATATTTCGTGATTGTTAAATATCTTAAGGCGACGTCAGAGTATCATTTACGGAAACGTGCACAAGAACTTCAGGAAGCAGTATTGTATGACGTGACACTAATCGTTTAATAACGTAAGCTAATTCAGGTAGTTAAAGTGTTGGACGATCAATTCTACATTTTAGGTATAAGTTAACACATTATTACGATTTTAAAAGATAACTCCGTAAAGGCAATGAATGACGCAATGATCCAATCTTGTTTACTTATTGAAAAACATTCATGAAAAAAACATATCTGGCCCATCCAGGGTGACTTAAACGATATATTTGAATATATTTATCTAATAAACCTAGTCTGTATATGTCACTACCCAAGCCCATCCTGTCTCTAACACTAATATGACAATATTAATAATTGATAAAAACAATATTCGCGGGGACTAACGTAGATTAACGAAACTTTTAATATTAATAGGGTTCAAAATTAGCCGATATGAGTGATCTTATCACCAACAATTTGCATAGATGAAATACATGCATTTTCACATTGTTTATCTTTTGAAGTTGGTCGATACAATAGTACCCCAAGGTCTGAACGATTCTGTAATATGTAGGCGAATCGAGGTCGAATTCGCTTTTATCCCTTAAAACAAGACGTATAAAAAGAAAATTATGTCAAAAATTACTATTGGAATAATTCATCTGTATTTAAATTGATTCAATTAGAGTTGAAAATGCTTAAAGATCTGTGTTCTTTTGGAAAATATGTACACGAAGCTAACCAATTAAGAAATAATTAAATGAAACAGTCGGTGATAGATTGCTAGTTTTGAATGGCATTGCTTTTATCTACTATGTATGGTTTTGAGATTTAAAATAAAATGTCGTAGGCAGCCATTGTAATTGTTGCGCCATTTCCACGTGATGGCGTACGTGTAACATCATCATTATCGACATTGTGACTGCATAATCGGTCTCTGAGTGGGACAGGCAATGAAATGCCTAAGTTTATATATTATACTAGTGATCTATGCTAAACTATTACGTAGGCGAATTCACTTATCAACATGGCGATTTAGCTAATCTATTACATAAGGTATAGTACCATTCAATATAATTGCCTGCACACTTTGTGTGATACACTTGAGCTAATGCACATGATTTAGTTTGTATCATACAGCTAGTTCGTCTTTTTGTGACTTGTTATTGATTCTCATAATGCCATGTGGTCACACGCAATGTGAAATGTTCATCTCTCAAACCTTGAAGCCATTCGCTTCCGTTTTCTAGCATATCTAGGTATCAGGCTTGGCTTTCCAATACTTAAAAATACTATTTTTGTCGGATAGTTTTCAGAGGAACTCTACCTAGTTCTTGGTAGATTATAACATTTGCAGTAGATTTCTTCCCCCTAACAATCTTTTACAATAACCTAAATGTAGTTTCACAATAGCTGGTACTTTATGAAAGCCCCAGATTTCAGCCCTATGATTTAATATACTACAATCATGTGTTTTATTAAATTAACCGTTAAAATGAAGTAAATGAATTCTTCTACATTTACCTTCCTCTCTTAACCTACCACCATTTCGAAATATCATCACTTTTGTTTTGACGCATTCACTATAGGACCCTATTCATTTGTATACAATAATAATCTAGTATTTTCTGTAATCCTTCAGCTATTTCCGCCATAAGTCGTCTGCATAAATCAATAAAAATACATTTATAGATTGTAGTTCAGTAGATGGTAACTCATCTGTTAAGAAATGCATTTACATATAAAGAAAACAATAGAGGAGATAATATTTGTTCTGGGAACAATCCATTATAACAAGATCAGAAATTACACAAATTATAACCATACTTTACACAACATTTTACATTATTATATAAATAACGCACTATATGAGCATCTTACCCACAATGCCCTCCTTTATCAGTTTGTACCATAGATTATGCCTGTTGATAAAGTTAAACGCTATTTTGTTATCAATAAAGCAGCAGTATAATTTCCTTTTCTTTTTAATGTTTTACTAATTAATGTATGTAGTACAAATATAGCTTCTATAGTTGACTCTTGTTTTCTAAATCCAAGCTGTGAGACAGGGAAATCCTCACGCACTAAGCTGTGGTGCCGTCTTTTCTGTCTTGTCGAATACAGCAATCATATATATGACAGGTGTATTCCAAGAATGGAGGTCCCAGTTGAAGTTTATTCAAAGATAATAAAAACGATTGATTGATTTACGTTGACTTTTAAATCACAGACATGGAGAGATTGTAGTTTTTTGTGTTGTTCTTTGAACAACATTTGTATCGCTGCTCTTTTCAATAATTTATAGTCATGACTAGGGATCCTTGATTAGACAATTATGAAGCAACAACGTCGTTTTTCATCGAAGATTAGTTTTTGCCATGCACAAAATGATAAAAACAATCAAAATAAAATGGTAGGGAAGACTGGATGTCAAAGAATACTGGTTTTAATGTTTTTGCAATGAAAGTGGGTTGATGTTGCAGACTCGCAATGTCTATCCGTTTTTCATTTTCATAATTTAATATTATGCAAACAAAAACTTTTTAACCTGCGCCTTGTGTAAAAAGGCATCAAAATTTGTTCGAAAATCTGGACAAAAGCATTATCGATAATTATATACCATGACAGAATCGACTTAGGAAGACAATATAAGCAAAAATCATAATGTTTGGATAACCGCGTGCTTTTTCTTTGTTTTTATTGAATAGCGCATGAGATGCTTTTCTGATGTCATAGGAATATATAGATTAATGAATTACCGAAACAAATTGAGTTTTTGGATTGATTGACATCGACTTTGACAACTTACAACTTCGGGAGACTAAGAAGATTAAAGCACATTTGCTGTTTATTGAACAACTTCCGTCTCACTGATCCTTTAAATAATTCAATATCTTGCATTACGTGTTTCTTTCATTCATTTTAGTTGATACAGTGAACTGATTTTGGCATTCAAAAGACGCCTGCATCAGTAATGTAAATAGTATCACTGTTAATCCTCAATTCGACAATACTGAAACAACAACGTCGCGTTTCATAGGAGAATAGTTTCATTCACACAATGATAAAAACAAAACAAAATGAATTGTTAGGGAACTGAGGATATTTATGGACACTCTTTAATGTTTTTGCAATGAAATGGAGATGATGTTGCATACTCAGTATAAATGATAATTCCCAATCATAATTACGCAGACTTAAGGGGGCAAGGAAATTGGAGAATCTATCCGTGGGTCTCAGAGCCACGTTTATATCCGATTTTATTTGCATAATATAGCCTGCGTTAATATGAGTTACTTTAGGTTGAGAATTTACTTGATGGATGATATTGGGTATCGGGATGTTAATATCAAAACACGAGTAGTGTCAATAAAAGCTTCCTTTTATCTGATAAAAGTGACTTAGAAGTATAGTATTATTTTTTCTGATATACTCCCCTATCCGCTTTCGTTATCAATTATGACCCTTACCCACAGAGTTAGAAACACAAGTAATGATACTGAATAACAATTACTGGTATGATAAATAATTCATTGATATGCCTATTCATATCTACGTTCGAGATCTCTT